ACTATGATAAATACATAAAATTATCAAGAGGAAAAGTTTGCAACTTATAGACACAAATAGATAATTTCCATGAAATACCACATCAATATTAACATGTGTCAAATGCTAGAAATAAAAAGTGCTGAATGTAAAAAGAATACTAAAAATCGATTTTTCCTCGACTAATAAAATTATTTTCATAGGATTATTAACAGACTGAATGCAATTGAAGAAAGGCTTTATAAAAGTAGAGAGAAGTAATTAGACATTATCTAAATAGAAACACAAAGGTACATACACACACACACACACACACACACACACACACACACACGGTCCCTGATTCACAGAATCACATCAAACCATCTAACTGCATGCCAAGTGAGACCAAAAAGAAGAGAGAAAGAGAGTGGGGTGGAGGAAATATTTGAAGACGTAATGACTCAGAATTTTCCAAAGTTGAAGAAAATATCAATCTGAGAACAAGGCATCAGCAACCCCCCACTGGGATAAATAAATTCTTATCAAGCTGAGAATCAAATATGAAGAGAAATCTTGAAAGCTGTCAAAGAAAATGGACCTTACATACAGAAAAATAAACAAGAAGTAAAAACTGACCTCATCAGAAACAACTGAGGCAAAAGACAAAGAAACAACATTTTTAAGGTGCTCAAAGGAAAAAAATCAACTTATACTTTATATCCAACAAAGGCTTTGTTTAAATATGAAATAAACACATTTTCTAATGGACAAAACCTGAAGCAACCTGTACAATTAGAAATGTTATAAGAAGTTCTTTATTCATGGAGATTATAGCAGATAGGAATCTAGTTTTACAGAGAGGAAAACAGGATCCAGGAATAGTAAATATGCTGGTAAATACAGAGACACTTTGATACACCTTTCACAACATCAAAGCTAGAAAACAGCTTTCTCAGTCTGATAGAGGGCATCTGTAATGGCATGCTTCAAACACTGAAGGAAAAAAAAATGTCAACCAAGAATATTATAGCCAATAAAACTATACTCTAAAACTGAGGCAAAGTAAAGACACTCTCAGCCTGAGACAATTTGTAACTAACAGATTTGTCATACGAGAAATGCTGAAGGAAACTCTACAGGCTGAAAGCAGTTGATCTCACACATTAATGTGAAAAGCACCACACAAAAATAAGGCTCACTAGTAAAGGTAATTATGTGATTATAAAATACAGTATAAATACATATTTATTCTCTTTATTCCTCTTAATTTATTTTAAAGCAACTGTACAAAACATATATATACATATACACACACACATATATATACACACGTACATGTCTATATATATATGTTTGTATATGATCAAAATTGTGTTATTGGATCTGTAACACATAGATATGAAATGTATTTTAACAATAGTTGAACAAAGGAGATAAGTAGAAGCATAGCTGTAAGAAAATAACAAATGGTAACTAAAATCCACGTGAACAGTGAGGACCAAAAATTCTAAATAAAAAGTTAATATAACGAACTGTGTAAGTATATACTTGCTTGCCTTTCTTCTCTTAAGAGTCAAGAGAAAAAAATTATAGAAAGTAATTATAACAGACAGTTCTTAGATTTCTAACATATAGATGTCATACATTTAACAGCAATAGCACAAAAAGAAGCAGATGAAATAACTATTTGATAGAAGCATTTCCATATCAGTTAAGAACTTTATTATGATAAGGTCAGATACATCTGCTAAGCTGAGAATAACCACTGAATATGTATACACACACACACACACACACACACACACACACACAGAGTATCATTTAAGGCATTAATGTTACACTATAATAGGCTCACATAATCCAAAAGAAAGCAGTAAGGAAGGAATAGAGAGACAAAAAAGTGAAATTTTTTGGAAGCTAAAATACAATGACAAGTATAAATCCAATGCTATCTGTAATAACATTAAACATTAATGAATTAAAGAATTCAACCAAAAGGCTGAGATTATCAGACTAAATAATATTGTCAACAGAAAACTTACCTATACAAACAGGATGAAAGCAAAAGAATTGGAAAAGATATATCATACAAACAGAAAATCCAATAAAGCAGGAGTGGCTAATCTAATAGCAGAAGCATCCTGTTTATAACACAACTCTCACCTCCTCCTGCTTCTTCTATATTATTTCTCATTAGCACTCCTTGAAATTTTACTTGCTCTATATTTTAACTATTTATTGGCATCTCTGCTATTGTAAATTAAGCCCCTTCTAGGCAGACATATTTTGTCTTTTTGTTCATTCTATTCAACTGAATAATCAACATCTAGAATAGGTTCTGGCATATAGTAGGAGCTCAGTAAATACAAAGGAACTTTGAAAATGCAGTATATGATGGTATTAAAGTACAAGTTTATTTTGGTGGAAGATTTTTTTGAAATTCATGCATAGCATTTTTATAATATGTAGTTTTCATAAATTTTTTTGAAGATTTTTTGGTCTGTAGGTTTAATGGACAAGAATTATGGGTCATGATCTAGGAAGTAGAAATAGAATAGTTAATAAATAAAACAAAGGCTGTGCCATCATAGATCTTGTTTTCTAATGAATTTTTTTTAAAGAAGTATATTTTTATTGATTTACACAGTAAGAATGCATTAGTCATTAGTGAAAATGATTGCAGAGCTGGCCCCATAGCCTGGTGATTAGAAGAGCCAGATCCCACATGACCAACTATGGTTCAAATCCTGGCTTTGGAAGTTTAAAAAACATGTGAGGCGTATATATGTGTGAGTGCCCCAAGTCCCAACAAGATGGAGAAATGGAGAAGAGCTTGCAGTGTGACCACACACAGAGAGGGGGTTGTAGTGAGACCACATTGACTAGGGAGGGGGTTCTTTCTCTCTCTCTCTGTTTCTCTCTGTCTCTCAGGTCTCTCTCTCTGTCTTCCTCTCTGTCTCTCAGGTGAACACACTTGTCCTCTGGCATTAAAAAAAAAGAAAATGAATATGAATGCTATTAGTATTCCTTTTTCAGAGTCAAACCAAATTTAAGTCATTTATTAGTTATTTTGCTCTTCAATATCAATGGCTAGTGAATGTGGCTATATTTCTTTTACCTGCAGTTTTATTATTATCATCCTTTTTTATTCTCTTCAGATGTAGAAACTGACCAGGATTTAGGTTTTTCGAATATCTAAAAAGTTTGTAAAATAATTTTTCAGTTTGTTTTATTTTACCAATTATATGTATGGATAACTCTTACAACTATAAGAATAATATAATAGAAATGTTTCACTTGTTTCTGATTTATTTGAACTTTATATATATGTGGAGAATCACTTGATATTGAAATATACTCTAAATCCTTATAACAAACTTCAGGTTTGTATTTGATTCATTTATCGTGAAAGAGAAAAATATCAAATAGAAGTCAATTTAAATTATTAATAAAACATCTTAGTGAGCAATATCCTAGTATGTTTAGATAAATGTAAATGAGAGTTGGGCCAATAGGTGGTGTGAAGGTTAAGGCACTAGAGCCCACATGGACAGCTAAGTGATTCAAGTCCTGAACCCAGTGGGGTGAAAATCACAGTGGGCATGTCAATGTGTGTGACCAAATTGCCAAGAAGACACTGGAAGAGAAGGGACTGTGGCATGGTCATCCTCACTGGGAGGTGATTTCTCTAGCTTTCTCTTTCTCTGTGTCTCCTTGGTGAGCATATGCTACCTAAAGGAAAAAAAAAACTAAAAAAGCAAAAAAGATAAAATGAAAATCAGTTTGGAGATATGGTATTAATTATTTTTTCAATTTTATTTTTTTTAAATGTGTGTGTGTGTATGTGTGCGTGTGCATAAGGTCTTACCTTAAAACAAGGTTTCACTCTGAACTTTCTGCCTCAGCATCCCAAGTAGCTGGGTATAGACAGTTAGCACCTTGCCCAGCCTTTTAGGATGGGCCGACATCACCCAGGCCTCCTGGTGGCCCCCATCTGCTGAGCAGCAGCGGCCAGTATGCACTGGATGTGGATGGGTCTAGTTTGCTTAGTTCATAAAAAGAAAAGTACTTTATTCACCACTTTAACCCTATTTTTATGTCCCTTATTTATGCATCTTAAAGAAATTCTGGCAACCACAGTTTGTTAAAAAAAATTGTCAACGATAAATAATGGAAACAATTTATTTATGGAAAAGATCATCTACTTTCTTTGAAAGTAAATTGGCATGTGATATTGTAGGCCAGTCATAACAAACAGCAATGAGAACAGTTGACAAGGGGAAGTACTTACTCTTAATTATATTTTTCTGGTCAGCTTTTAGAAAATCATAATATGAGTGGGAAAAAAAAGTCAAAAGATCCAAAAGTTCTTGAGAAATCTGTTTTGAGGAAATTCATGCCAGACAGGATCATTTTCAGGTTCAAAAAAGAGTTTTCATAGTAAGATTTAGATGATTAATTTAACATTTCTGATCAATGTGCCTTTTTAAAAATGAGGAACTAGGGGCCAGCAGGTGCTGGAATTCCCACAGGGCGACCGTGGTTTGAGTCCCAGACTGTGTGTCTCTGTCTTTCTCTGGCAAAATTCATGTGAAAAAAATAGTAATAAATAAATAAAATAAATATTTCTTAGAAAAAAGAATTATACTACTTACATAATTGGATAAGATGGGTTGTAAATAATAAGTTACATGCCATTTGTCAAAAGAAAAAAAAAAAGATTTCCCAATGGTTGTTTTGCCAGTAAACCTTAGTTCCATGTGGCTCATGGAGAAACCCAGGAGGCCTCTATTTGCTTTTCCATTAGAGACTTAGGCATGCTGCTTCTTCCCCTATTGCCTTAAATGTTTAAATACCTAAGTTCCACGTATAGTTTCCTTCATTACCACAGAACTGGAATACCAAAGTAAATAAATAAAGTGTTAGAGAAAAAGGCCTTTGGAAGCAGATCATTCTCAAAAGCCTCCAGAGTTTAGTTTTCAATAGAAGAATTTGTTCTGAAAGCGTAGACAGATTAGAGACAAACAAAACTCACTCACCCGTTTTTGCATCTTTCCAGTCATCTGAAAGAATGGTCTTGGTCTGGATCGTGTACTTGGAGATGGGACTGTGATTGTCTGAACCACGGCTCCAAGTAAGGGCCACGGAAGTGGCTCTAATGTCTTCAATTCTCAGACCACCTGGTGGGCCTGGAGGGCCTAGAATAAAAATTCAGGTAATGGATCAATGAATTCCAACTAATGAATTAAACACCCATCACAATAAAAAGATGACTTCCTTGCCAACTTAAAAACATTTGGACGATATCCTCAGCATTGCTGCATTTCTTTTACGTATAAAGTATAAAAAATTATAATATTTGTGGTTTTCACTAAATGATTCACATTGCCTCTTTTTAAAGAGAGAGCTAAGTGCTATCATTTAAAAATGGCATCCTCATTCAGGATATATATGATAATTCCAGATGCATAAAATGCTGTTTTCATTTATGGTAACCAATACAGACTGTAGCACAGTGAAATTTAATAAATGCATACTAAATACATAAATTGGAAGTGGTAGCACAATTCAGTCTAGATATGAGAATAATTGGTCAAATATTTAATGCTGTCTCTCCAAAACAGAATAAATCTTTTCTTACAATCCTAAAAGTTGTAAGAGTTTATATTACTTGGAATGGAAATTTCTACTAACCATTTTTATGTATAATTTTGGGTGGCAAACCTCATGTTAATTATAGTAAAAAACAAACATTAAAAGAAATGTTTCTACTTATACAAAATCCAGAAAACAGTTGTGAAAATCAAAGATATACTGGAAGTTCTCTGGAAACATTAAAGTATATATTGAAGAGTATTAGGATAAAAGCATTGTTATTACAGAATATAAAACAATGTAAAATAGGTTACCATAATGTTTCATAATTCAACAACACTATTGTTTGTTCATCCTCTAAACCAGGAGCACTGAGCTGGATGGTAGGGATTAAAAGGTAAATGGGACATAAAGCCCAACTACACTGGCACAGCAGCAGGGCAATAACTGCTGCATGGAGCTGGAGCCACCTGGAAGGTCCAGGTTCAGTTCCCAGACCCACAACAGGCCAGGTGTGCTGGTGCCTGCCAAGAACCTGGCTAAAGGGGATGCTATGGCAGGAGGCTTGCGGCTTGGTGAGACTCTGCCCAAAAGACCTCTCTCTCTTCTTCCTCTCTCTTCTCTCTCTCTTTCTCCCTTGCTTTCTCCTTCCCTCTTACTCTTCCACCAAATAAATAAATAAATAAATAAGAAACATAACTTTGGGGCTTCAAAGAGCTCTTTGTCTTGAAAAGGGTAAAAGAGACCAGCAAACAGATGACTAGAATAGAAAGCAGTAGAGGCCATAATAAGTGTAAGCAAGACACTTTCTTACAATTGCTTTTTTTTTTGGAGAGGTTTTTGCTATAGGGTACGTGCGCTTGCCAGACAGACAGACAGAGAGAGACAGAGAGACAGAAAGTGAGAAATCACCCCCAAGGGAGGATGGCCACACCACAATCCCTTCTCCTCCATTCTCCTCTCAGGACCTTGGGCATGCATACAAGCGCGCCCAGCGTGAGTTTAAGCCACCGGGTTCAGGACTCGAACCGCGGTCGACTACGTGGGAATCCAGCAACATAGCCATTACGCTAACTACTGGTCCCTCACAATTGCTTTTTGTTTTTTTATAATGAGGGGAAAAAGGGCCCTTCAAATGACAAAGTGGCATCTATAGCTTAATGACAAAGTAAAAAAGCCTCTCTGTGAAGAGACAGCTCTTTAACAGACATTTCAGAAAATGCCATCACTTGTCTGCTTTGCACCAGAAAGGAATCCATCCTCAAGTAAATTAAGCATAATAGATATAATAATTCATCAATTTGGTTAAATAGCAACTTCATCTTTTTCATAATAAATGTAATACTAATGGAGATAATGAAGATATTTGTTTTTATTTTTTCAGCTGAAAGTAAATACCTTCATATTTACATATCAGTTGAATTTTTAAGTCTAGGTGGCTTTTTTCAGGAGTCTTTGACTTTTGCAGAGCAACACCCCAAACTTCCACAAATTTCCTTACCATTGGTCCCAAGGAGAAAAAAATGAGTGTAGATCAACATAAGCACATCACTACTAATATTAAAATAATGCAACACATCCTATCAATGGCTGCAAAGTTTATTATTTGGAAATATATTGCGTATTCATATAATAGAGGCAAAGAAAATTTTAGAAATTAAAAATCTATAGTAGTGTAATTATATTTTTGATGTTAAATCATTGAAAATAAACACATAACACAGAACATATCTGATATTCAGAGAAAATAAGCTGCATTTTTTTTATTTTAAATTTATTCATTCTCTGCATTAATTCACTATACACCATCACAACACACAAATGAATTTTCCATCCAAAATACACTGTGCACTGGCTCAATCAAGCACATCGGCAAAAAAAGAGAGAAAGAGAAAATACTGGAGGAAGCCACGGGAGAGAATAACAGGAGCAACAGGAACTGAGGGGCAGCCCTGACCAAATAGGGGGTGTCAAGATGCCTCCCACCTTGTGGACCCTTCCACACCTGGAGGGGCCTGTGCAGCAGGGCCAGCTCACGAGTCAAGCGGACTGTGGCCGTGTGCTGGTCCGTGCCATCAGGGCAGAGCCTGGACCAGGCGGGAGGGCTCGAGTGCCCTGGGCTCCTCTGCATGCTATCACCCACTCTGGCGCGAGTGAGCAGAACAGTGTTCCGTGTGAGTGCCGTGTCGAAGAGGGTTTGAAGCACGTGCTAATGTCCTGTGAAGTCAATGGCATGCCTCTCGTCATTCAGGTGACAGTTTCTCAGTTTCTTTATTTTTTTAGTTTTTTTTGCAACATTTGCATATGCACTCAACAGAGAGAGGGAAAGTGAGAAATCACCACCCGGGGGGATGGCCATGCTGCAATCCCTTCTCCCTCCTCCTGGGATTTTTTTTTTAATTTATTCATTTTCTACATTAATTCACTATACACCATCACAACACACAAATGAATTTTCCATCCAAAATACACTGTGCATTGGCTCAATCAAGCACATCAACATACATGTTCTCAGCAAATAATTTTCCAATTCTTATGTCCTGCATACCTTGCCTTTTGTTTTGCCATCCCCGATTCCCCATCCCCCACCCTCTGCCATGTCCCATCCTCCTCCCACATTGTCCCTGACATCCATGGTTGCCCTCCATACCTTCCCCACCCCCATTCAATTGATCTGCCAATGAACTTAATTAGTCTAAATATATCCAATAAATAAGCTGCATTTTTCATGTTTAAAAAAACCACATTGAAATATTGTGCACATAACACACCCAAGAAATTCATTACTTCATATAACATCATTCCAAGTCAATTACTAAGTGTAATATTTCAGAACTTTAAAGTGAAAAATAAGATATGAAAAAAAAAAAAAAAGTCCTAGAATGCATGCATCTGGACAGTTTTTCTGAGCACAGGGGCCTAGCATTTGAAAACATTAAAGGAAGTAAAGACAAAATTGTCATTGGTTAATCCTTAAATATTAAAGTATAAATCGTTTTTCTCATGCTATTTTCTGTAGCTCTTTTAGTATCAAATGAATAATATTTTACAAATGCCAGATTAAATCCACATATTAATAGTGTATTTTTAGGACATAATATGTGTGATGATTTCCCTCAGTCATCCATTTATTGAAGAGCAGTATTGCTGAGCAAACCACTATATGTCTGACCACTTTTTTACTGATGTATGTCTGGCCGATAGTGAGTTCTTAGTAAATACTTGGTGAATACATTTGACTTGAACTTATCACATTTGATCATCAGACCATTCTATAACATAATGATCATCTTCAATGTCATCTCCATTCTTCTATTTGTCTTGAAATACTATATTATTGTAAGGAGGTAGACTTGAGATGACAGATGGAAAGGGGTAGGTTGAAATCCTCCAAATCTCGGTGTGACAGTATAACTTGACAGTGATTCAGTTGATGCGAAGTAGAATTTTCTGTTTTGCAATTGCCTACTAATGTCTCTCAGTAATTATCTGAGGATAAATCATACCATTTAAAAACCTCCAGAAAACAACCCCCACCCCTAACCGCAAAAAAACTAAAACACTATTTTAGAGTTCAAAATAGGCTTGGCTTTATATTCTGTGCTCTGATTCATCTTGGGCAAGTTTCTTAAATTTACTAATAACTTTTATTCTCATCTGTGAAATGGGCGTAATAAAAATAGAACACATGTAAAGGCAGTTAGGATTAAAATACCAACTTTAAAGAGATGCAGTGCTAGGCCTTCTTCTGGTAAGAGCTCTCTGGCCATCTTAGCTGCCACTTAGCAGTAATTATCAGTATTTGTTAATCCTTGTCAGGAGGATGTTTGCTTCATTGTTCATTGCTACTTGTTTGTTGAAATGAAAAGTATCTCAGGAAAGTAAACCCATTTCAGTAAACGTGATGGAGATGAGGGAATGCTGGGAATGTGAAGATACTCTGATGCATACTCAGGCATCTGGGTATGGCACAAATAGAGCAAAAAAAACCACAGAGACAAACTTGGATAGTCTTGAGTTCAACCCAGGGGCAGCCCCACAATGGCTCTTACAAGGAAGGTTTTAAAGCAGTGTAGGCTGATGTTACTTGCTTAGTTTATTCAGAATGAAAACAAAAGTGTCATTGTGGGCCCAACAGTGGTGCAATGGTAAAGCAACTGAGGTGTCATGGTGATTAAGGTGTTGGTCTCCCACATGGATGACTGGTTTGAGTTCTGGATCTGGTGGCTTGCTTTCTCACTTTCCCTTTCTCTCCTTCTTTGTTTCTCTCTGGTCAAATTAAAAAAAGAAAAATAATAATAATAACAAATAAAATTAAATAAATAATTCTTTAAAAAAAAGAAAAGCAACTGAACCCACATGCGATGGTCCTGGTTTGCATTTGGTGGCCTCACTGAGCATGCGGGCATGCAGGTGCATGTCTGAGGTCTGGACTGGCTGAGACTGGGAGTGGCTTGTGGAGTGAAGTCTCTTTTAAGGGTACCTATCTCCTTGTTTTTCTATCTATTTCTGTGCCTTTCTCATGGAAGAAATAAATAAATAAATTTTAAAAAGAAAAAAAATGGAAAGAAAATGTGTGTAGTGGTAGAAAAAATAAGGCAGC